CGCTATATATTCAATAAACAGATCAAAGTGATTTATATAACTATTATCAGATTTGTCTTAGCTAGATAAATTGAATGATGATTAGATCACTTCAATCTGATCATTGAATTGTGAAATATCATGTCCCAAAGTTATGGGAATTAAAAAAATAATTGATTTCATCAAAGATCGATAAATAAAATTTATGACTTTAAGAATAAAAAGCTGGATCATTTTACATAGTCATGTGTTATGAAAACCAAAAGATTAATCTTGATGTAGGAAAAGAACATGATTTTGAGTATTTTTTACTAGAATATATAGTAGTTCACTTAAATAAAATACAAAAAAATTGATAAGATACAAATATCTCATTATTGAAAAATTACACAGAAACAAAAGTAAGTGAATTATATTTATTAATATTACAATTATTGATATTAATAATTTTTTGTAAAAGTTACATAAACAAAAATTATTTTTTTGAAATTTTTTTAATGTTTTGCATAAATTACTTGATTTTGAGAATAATATTTAAAGAAAAAATTCTTTTTATTAAACTATTATCAAGCTAAAAAAAAATACTAACTAATGAATTATAATATTATATTATCATTTTGTATAATTACTCTTTGCTTTTATAATATCATTTACTCTTTTTGACATTGAAGAAACCAACTATTTACAGAAGTCTGCTTCAATATCATTTCACATGATCTGGAGTTTTATACACAATTATCTTTGCTTGAAAATGGATCAGAAAGTTACTATAACTGCCAGTTAATCCCATTTCAAAGATTTTTAATGGAGTTTAGATCAGAAAATTGAGCTGATCAATCAAGCAAATCTATTTCATTATTAAGAAATCAGATTTATATTTTTTGACATATATTTAGAGTTATTATCTTGCTGATAAAAGATTTTTTCTTTACTTAGCTCTTTTGTTGACAGTAAATTTAATAAATTCTTATTTAAAATATCAATGTAAATATTAGCATTTATTTTTATATCAATTTTTTTGAGTTGTTCCACTCATTTGATATTCATACATTTTCAAACTATTATAATATCTATATTAAATTTTATTATTGGAATAATTTGGTATTAATTTAGTTGCTCATTAGTCTTTATCTAGCAGTATTTATAATTATCTGACTCAAAAAGCTGAAACTTGCTTTTATTAAATCAGAGAATCAATCTTCAATTATTAATTATAAAATCTCAATATTTCTTTATTCAAGCAAGTTATCATTTTTAGTATATCTTTTTGAGTATCAGCTTTTTGTATTTAGTTTTTGAAAATAGATTATTTTTTCAGAATTTTCATCATACACTTTCTATAAAAATATCAATTTCAAAATCAGATTTAAATTTGATTTTAATCTCTACAGTAATAAAGCAAAGTTTAGTCATTAATAACTATATAGTATATTTTTCATAGTAATTAATTAGAAGATATGAATAATTAATTTTTTTAGATCATCAAAGATTCCAGTTTTTTCTTTTTTTTGCAAATTCATAAAATTAATATAATAGTAATTTTCATATCAAATAATTTTTTTTTATAATATGAATATTTATGAGTATTTTCTTGAAAGATTCAAGATATTTTTAAATAAAATATAATTAGAATTGTTATTTAGAATAATTAAAAGTATTTTACAAAAATTAAATAATAAAAAGAACTTTTATATTTATCTTTATTGTTTTTAATTACTTATATATTATACAAAATGCTAAAAAAAAATAGAAAAGTATTAGTATATAAAAAAAATGATAAATAAAAATAAAATTTGCATTAATTAATATATATTATTTTAATGAATATAATTTACTTATTTTTCTTTTCATGTAATTTTTTAATAATGAAATATTCATATTTTTCACTTTATTTTTTAAGTAAACTACTATAATTAATTTTAAAATTTCGTGAAAAAATTAATATCTAAATAGTTTAATAAAGTAAATAATACATAATAATAAATTAGAATTATCTATAATTTATTTTTTGAATTAATAATGTATTTCTTAATATAATAAATAGATTTTACTTATACATGTATTAAAGTATATAATTTTAATAATTTGATTTAGTAATTTTTTATTAGATTAATTTTTTCTTGAATATAAAATACATTGTGCAATTTGTTTGTTATTTTCTAATTATTTTAATTCAAATATGAATAAATAATATATATATATTATTATATTAATAATATAAATTTAAATTAATCCTCATATTTTTTATTTTGACTAATTAAACTTCTTTATAACAATAAAATTTTATGTCAAAATTTGTTCTATAATTTATATTATAATTTACATTATAATTTAGTCTATAATTTTTATAATAATCTATTTTATAATTTGTATAACAGATTAATAATTTTTCTTGGAATATAAAAACAAAAATATATATAAAGACTAATAATAAAAACTCAAAGAAAATATATTTAAAAAGCTCTAAAAGTTTTAAAAATATAATTGTTTACTTATATATAATTATTCTTATAATATTATCTTTAATTTACTATATATTATAGAATTTTTTGTTTTAAAAAATGTTTACTTTTGATCCAAAAAATGATTAATTATTTTAGTAAAATATTTATAAAATTAAAATTTATTAAATTATTACTTATAATTAAAATAGAAAAGATATTATTAAGAAAATTGTATAATTAAAATTAAATAACTTCACAATATAAATTTTCAATATTAATATTTATAGATATTAATACAAGTTCTTTAAAAATTTAATTATTATAAAAATAGTATTAGTCAAATTTACTTTTCTTATACAAGTTATCAATTAATAGTCTAATTTTTCTAATATTATTTGATAATCATTTTTCTTGAATCAAATTCAAATTATCTAATTTGAAAGTCTAATTTATCATATAATATATAAGTATATAAATAAAGATTGATTTAAGTCTAGAATTAAAATTAGAATGAAAGTTATAATTAAAATTATATATAAAATTATCTTTTCAATATTATTAATATATTAAAATAAATTTAAGTATCTAGTTTTAGTTATTTTTCATGTTTTTACTTATATTTCAGATTTGTTTTGCTGAGTTGATCAAAAATTTATATATTCTTATTGATTGTATTTCAGACTGATTATCAAATAGATTAGACTTTAGATATATTTTTAATTTAGATTTTACTTTTAATATATATTACAAGTCACAAATTTAAAAAATAAAATAGTATATAATGCTCAATTAGCAATAAATAATATTGTAAATTAATATATAATGTATTATTATATAGTATTAATTATTAAAATAATTATTATAGAAAATTAATATCATATAATAAATAAAATCAATACATAATTATATAAAATTGATAATAAAAGAAAGAAGTTAAAGATATAACTATATAAAATTGATAATAAAAGAAAGAAATTGAGAGCACAAAATTGAAAACAAAATAATAAAATAAAAATTAGTAATGAAAAAAAAAGTTAAAAGCATGATCATACAATTAAAAAAAGATTAGTAATATAATTATATAATGAAATATAGATATATAATAAATGAAAGATTAGTAACAAAAAAAGCATATTCACATAATGAAAGAAAGGTTAATAAAATAATTGCATAATAAAATGTAATTATATAACAAAAGAAATATTAATAACTTAACAAAAAATGTTTTTCTTTATTTTTATATACATGTTGAAAGAAGATCAAGGCTACTCATTTCAATAAAGTAATTTCATAAACTAAATATCTTTGCATTTTTTTTAGTGAGATACAGGATATTTGTTATTTAGAATAATGAAAAAGTATTTTAGAATATTGTAAAAAAGAATATTTTTATACTTATTTCTACAAATCTCAATAGTTTTTTATTCAAATATACAAAATGCTAAAAAAATCATAACCTGTAAAGAAAAAAATAAATGAAAATAAATAAAAATACATTGAATAATTTTGATTAATTTAAGATACACTTATTTTTGATCACTCATAATTATTTAATAACTAGATATTAATTTTTTTCCAACAATTATTGTGAAAATACTCATTTAAAATCAAAAAACACTCTAATTTTATCATCTTGTTGCATTACTTTAAACTTAGAAATATATAAATATGCATGCAATAAATAATGTCATTAACAAAATTCAAAATTTTTGATTTAATCAAAAAGAAAGACACTTATAATTCACAGGCAAATATAAAGCTAAATTCACATTTTTAATTAAAAGAAGATTGAATTAAACTTATTAACTTGCTAGCTAATAATGTGTTTGGTATAATTACAGCTTGCCAAGAATCAGCTTCAGTCAGAGCATGAAGTAGTCCAAAGCATATGTAAAAATAAAGAGGAGACCAATTTCAAACTTCTTTCTTTTATTACATGATATACTTTCAATTTCTTTCTTTCATTACTAGTCTTTCTTTTATTATGTAACTGCGTTTCATTACGTAATTGTGTTATTAATCTTTCTTTCATTACTAATTTTTCTTTTGTTGCCAATTTTATGTGATCGTGTACTGGTTTCATTCATTGCGCAATGTTAATTTTTCTAATAATAATTGTAAAATTTAATCAAGTACAAGAACAATTATTATTTTAATTTCCATTTGCAGTTTATCAAAAATGAATAATACATATAATACCTGTTAATGTGCGAAGTACAAGTATATCAAAGACTTAACAAAGTTTCCAATCAATTAACAGTTTCTACACTTTAGAATATTATAGACTTGTGTAAGCTAATTCTCCTACAAATATTCTATCTGATTTTATGAATTCAAACTCACCAGTGATATAATATTCTAAATATTATAAGAGCAAAAAATCAATAAAAGGAAAAATAACAAACAAATAAAAAATGATTTCAAGTGTTCCAAAGAATTATCAACTTTAGGTTGTATACAAATCGAAGCGATCGTAGGCGAAGATTATCCAAATATAAATGCACTACCCGGATGGATGCAGGTTGTCTTGATTTTTTAGATGCACTGCTCGGATAAAGATGCATTACCACCACGAAAATGGATGGATGCACTACCGCAAAGGTTTTTAGATTCACTGCCCCGAGTAAAGGAGTATTACCACGAAAGTGAATACATTACCACGGTGATGATTGGTTTTTATTTTTTTTATGATTTTTAGATTCACTGCCCCGGGTATAGGTGCATTACCACTAAAGTGGATGGATGCACTACCGCAAAGGTAGAGGTGGATACACTACCACAGAGGTGATTGCTTTTTATTTTTTTTATGATTTTTTAGATTCACTGCCACGAAGGTAATTTCTTATTTTTTTATATACCATTTGGGAAAGAAGAATCAACAACAAAACAACGACTCCAGTTTTTACTTTAAAAACAAGTAAAAAGTCAGAGAAGAAACTTCGAAGAAAGAAACAACTCGCAAAACATCTCTCAGCACTGAGTGTAAATAGTGCTAGTGTGGATATACTACCATAAAGGTGATTACTTGGAGGTCTTACAAGCGAGAAAAGTCAAAGGATCGAATAACGGGACAAAGCCAGCAGCAAAAAAAAATATAAGAAGAAACTTTGAAGAAACAACTCGCGAATAGCGGTAGCAAGAAAGAAGTGTGGGAAGGAAAATTAATACATGTAATCATATATGTAGATCGTTAACGTTAATAAATAACGACACGACATAACCAACCAATCAGAATTAAACGTAAACTTGTCCAAGCCACGCTTTACTGTTGCATGTACTACATCGGTATTTACTATCGTTATTGTTATACATTTTTGTACAGGGTGATTAGCGATAGCTAATCATCTTGTTATAGTTGATTTTTATCCCACAATTTTTGTCAAGTGAAACTCAAGTAATCCAAAATTCGATATATATATCAAATCCACGATATGATAACCGTACTAACACTTGCATTTCAGACGGAAGCATCCCCCGCTGGCCGG